CCGCTTTTCTGGCCAGAGATGTCTCCTGTCTTTTTGCTCATCTTACTGATTTTCCACATTTCTAGTGCAAATTCAATGCCCTCTACTTCTTTTTTTTTTTTTTTTTTTTTTTTTTTTCTTTTGTCTTTTTTTCCCTTTCCATTTCCATGATGTCAGGAGTAGATGGTTTGTAGATGGTTTACCTCCTGTACTCCTGCTAGAACATCCATCCGTCTCTGAAAGGGAGGAGTAAAAAAAAAAAAACATTCATAATCTGTAGACATAATTACTTTCTGAATGGATTTCAATTTGAGTTTGTGAGGTAGTGAGTTATAGCTAATGTTGTCCTTACCAGTGTTTTCGTGTTAGATTTATGCTTAGTTTTGGATTTTTGTTTTTTTTTTTTTCAGACTGCAATGGATAGTGCCAGACTTAGTGCTGTCAAGTCATCTCCCATGATGGAAACCATTAACATGGTAAGTACTTGATTCAGGAGAGTTCTGGTGTAAGGTTGTAGGAGAAGAATAGGAATCCAAGTGGGAACTTTACAGAATACCTCTTTGGGATTCATTTTATTATCACATCTCCGTGTGGATGTCTGTCCACCTTCTTTTTCATATGCTGACTTCTCATCCTGTCGCCACAGCTTGCTCCTCAGACCAGGTGTAAGTAACCTTGGCTCCATTTGGAGTCAGACAGATCATTTCTCTAGCTGGAGACCTGCCTGTTTTTGAGGAAGAGGGCATCTTTCAAATGCTTTTCTTTGGCCGGGGGCTCAGCTGGTTCTGCATTATGCTAGCTAGCATTTCTCTTCATCTCTGGCCCACAATTCCACAAGCAGCTTCTCACCTGGGCCTCCAACTGATGATAGTCATTGTTCTTAAGGCACAAATGCTGTCCAGCCCTTGCCTCATGGTGCCTTAGGTTTCCCTGCCTGGTCCTTGAAAGTGCTTTGATGGGGGAGATATTTAGAGAAAATGCTGGTATCACTGAAAGCCCCTGTCAGCAGCTGGTGTTTGGCTGCTGGTTCCTGCTGCTGGAGGAGGAGTTGCTGATGCCCAGACGCTGTGCTGTCAGGTCTGTCTTGGCAGAGCTCCCTGCCCTCTGTAAGAACCTGTCCCTTCCCAAAGAGAAGACCCCTCTCTTCTGCTCAGGCACTGCACGCAGCCAGGGGCATGCGAGGGGGCAGGGGGTGTCAGGGCTGAGCAAGTTTTAGGAGAAGCATAGCCACCAGAGCTATTATTATATCTGCTCTGTAGTTCCCTGAGCTTATGGAAAAGTAAAAACAGCGAGCCCTCCTGCACATAGCAGCTTGTGGAGCTGCGGTTTGGTGTCAGGTGGAGGACTATAAATAGAGTCTAAAGCGGCTGGGGATGAAAGGCTCCCTGCCACCTCGCAGGCTGCAGCAGCTGCTGCTGTCCCTTCTCCAGGCCATGCCTGTCCCCTGCCAGCCCTTCAGGGACAGTTGTGCTGCCCTGATCCGTGCTTGGGATTTCCTCGGGGAGGAGAGAGATAGTACAGCTTCCCTGGAGTAGCATGTAGATGTCCTGGCTTATGGGCAAACCTCTCTCTATTCCTCTGTATTCTAGGGCTGGCTGGGAGATTGTATGATAGAACGGATTATTGCCTTCACCATACCAGTGCAGGAGGGGGAGTGACTGCAGATCTGACTTCCCAAGCTCAGAGAGGGTCACCTTCAGTTAGTGTGGGATCCTTGCATTTGCTAGAGGAGGGATGTCCCCTCTGCAGACAGTGTCCTACACAGAGTGCTGAGAACACGGGGCTTCCTGCTTTGCCCAGTGGCATTTAATGCATAGGAGATTAGAAGTGATACCAGTAACATCCCCCTTGTACCTTTTATGTCATTCATTCCACTCGTTTGTCTTGACCTGTTTAACGACTGTCTTGACCAGTTCCTTTCATTGCCTGGTTTGGATGTGTTATTGCTTCAGAGTTCAGACAGTTGGGGGAATGTTGGGTTTTATCCTAAGATACGCACGCCTTTGCACCCCTTTCCCTCCTCAAAAGGAGTTCTTGCTAGTGTATTACATTCAGTTTTCTGAACAGTTGGAGTGCAGGAGTACAGAATACAGCAAATGATAACTTGAGCAGGGTCAGCTCAGCACAGAAGTGGGACAAGACAATCTGTACATGGTGGAAGCCACTTCGTGGTGCCTCTTTCCCACCGTGCGGCAAACTATCATGGTTCAGCTGCAGACCAGCCTGCAGAACTGAGGCTGGCCTCAGCTTGAAGTAGAGAAGCTTAAGTCTGCCACCATTACCCCTTTCTTTTTTTTTTTGTTTTTTGTTTTTTGTTTTTCACCCCCACCTCTTTATCTTTCTGTAGAGCTTGCAGTACCTGGATGTGTCCGTCCTGGGTGAGCTGGTTCCTCGGCTGTGTGAACTGATCAAAAGTGGAGTGGGCCTTGGCACAAAGGTATGTCTATGATTTTTAACAGTTGTTCTGAAATGGAGAAGGGCACACAGAGCAGAACGTGAATACTGTTCTTCAGACTGTCTCTTTTAAAGTGACAGCTCAGGCTTATTCGTACAGAAGTCGTTTTACCTCCGAGTCTCACTCCACCTGCATTAGTTGTGGTTTTGTGAGTGTGTGATGCCTTGTCCCCCCCTGGGGTGCGTGGCTGTTGTGCTCTGTGACACCTGAGTGCAGAAGCGTGTCCTTGGTAGCTGTAAAGCTCCCAGGACCATTTATCCTCAGTGGAGGTCCTGGTGACTTTTTGACTTCCTAATTCAAGCCTTGTCATTCGTTTGTTACAAACTGTTTCTCTGCTTCTGCCCTTCACTCCCAGCTTACCAGGGCAGAGGGTCAGTGAGCCTAGATCATGTTATACCAGTGCATATAGCAAGTATTAACAGTAATAACCAGGAGCTAATATTGTTTTATCTAACCTTTGTTCTCCCTTGCAATCTTCCAGGGAGGCTGTGCCAGTGTAATTGTGTCGTTAACCACACAGTGTCCTCAGGACTTAACACCTTATTCAGGTGAGGTTTGTTTCTAGTGTCAAGCTTTAAAGGTGCTTTTTGTTGCTCTTCTGTAGGTGTTTGCTCCCTATTGGCCCTTGATTGTGTCACAGGAATGATCTTTACGTGTGAATTTTCCTCAGAATGACAGAATCACAGAATGATATGGGGTTGGAAGGGGCCTCTGGAGATCATATAGTCCAAGAGGAATGGGCAGAAATATGTCTAGGCCTTCTGGGAGCAGGTGAGCAGTGCTTGTGTTAGTGCAGCACTGTCAATAAGCACATGCTCCTTCAACTTGAGCTGTGGGAGGGCTACAAACAGGGACTTTGCTTCTTTGGGTCTTCATCTTCTCTTTGCAATTTATTGTGATTTGATAGTAGAAAGAAGGTCACCTTTCTGTTGCAAAACAAAAATGAAGCTTAAAGGGCAATCAGCTGGGGTGCTCACGTACAGGCACGTTATGTATGGGGCTTTGAGCAACCTGCTCTAGTGGGAGGTGTCCCTGCCCAGGGCAGGGGGGTTGGAACTGGATGAGCTTTAAGGCCCCTTTCAGCCCAAACCATTCTATGATTTTATGATTATCAGTTAAGGTGTGCAGGCTGAGGCTGGCAAAGCCCTAGCTTCTGCTGAGCCTTGCTGTGTTGTGCCAGGCACTTGTTTAAATATAAGGGCTACACAGTCCTTACATACACTTTAAATATAAAGACTAGCCCTGCAAACATGTGATAAGGAAAAATGCAAAAATTCAGACGATCTAATGATATGCAGACTGTTGTCATTCTTGTCACAGCAATAAAAACATGATACTTCTCTTCCAACAGGCAAACTTATGAGTGCTTTACTTAGTGGCCTGACTGATCGCAACAGTGTGGTACAGAAGTCTTTTGCCTTTGCTATGGGGCATCTAGTCCGGGTGAGTTGGGGTTTGAGAAGGTTTTAGGTTTTATACTGCTTTTTTGTTGTTGTGGTTTTTTGTTTTGAAGTCTTTGAGTGATTTGAGCCTCTTTCCTGTTACAGACCTCCCGGGACAGTAGCACTGAGAAGCTGCTGCACAAACTCAGCAGCTGGTACATGGAGAAGGAAGGTATGTTGCTTTTTGGGTGTTCAGTTACAAAATACAGTGCAGAAAACGTTCCTGGTGATAGCAAAAGCTGGTAAAGAAGCATTTCTATATTGTGCTGCTTGGTTTCACTGGCTGAATAATTCCCATGCATCATTGCACAATACTGTGCATTCCTCTGCCTCCCAAGAGGCAGACCAAGCTGTTAAAGGAAAATCCTGCTTCCCAGTCATAACGTGTGATTGTTTTTCTCTTTCAGAGCCAGTTTACAGAACAGGCTGTGCTTTAACTGTGCACGCGATGGGCCGCTACAGCCCAGACGTAGTGAAGAACCATGCCAAACACGTGCTGCCGTTGGCTTTTCTTGGCATGCATGAGGTTCCTGATGAAGAGAAAGGAGAGAAAGAGAATTCTACTCTCTGGACTGAAGTTTGGCAGGAAAATGTACCTGGTAAGTTGCATTAAGATCGGTAGAAGCTTTCTGGGAAGCATGGGACAAGAAATATTATGCTTTCTGGAAATCCATTTTGGAAATACAGAGTTCTCGTGGTAAGAGATTTGGGAAGCTTATTTCCATTTTCTTCCTTGCTGAAGATGTCCTGTATGAGTTTCAGCAGGTTTTTAGCTTCTCTTTGGCTATTTAAAATAATTGCAGAGGTTTGGATCACTGAGAATACACAGACATAGTCAGGAGAAGTAGTTTAAAGGTTGTGAGGCTCTGAGTGCCACTCTAGTGTGGCCCTGATCGTGGCACAGATAGATGGACATCTTTGGATGTTTTGATGTCAGCCTTTAAAGGCTGCTGCACACTCTGAAGTTAGAAGGGACTTTGGCCTGTCTCTTGGGTTGGAGATCTCTGTGGTGATGCCTGTGGCCTTAAGTTCAATGAATGAATATACACTATAGAAGGGCTATTTTGCCCTGATTTCTGTCTGCAGAGGAGGGTGTGGATGCATGGTGAAATGGTTTTGCTAGCTCTTTCTCTGACCCAATTTCAGATCTGGTCTCTCAGTCACCAGATTGCTTTTCTGGAGTTTGTGAAAGAAGCTGCAAGAAGGTTTGCCAGTGCTCTTTGCTCTTGCAAAAAAAAGAAAATAAAAATAATTCTATTCCTTAGAAACAGGCTAACACAATGTCTAGTGTCTGACATACAGAAGGACTGAGATGAGCTCTTTGTCAAGGTTTTTCTTTGGAAGCACGTAGAAAGTAAACCCCATCTTTAATCTTCACCCCTTTGCCTGAAGTAGGCCTTGATCATCTGTTTCACAGAAAAAAAAGAAAAAGATATATCTATAACTGCTTTTTTTTAAAAAAAGATCAGATTTTTTTTGTTTGTTTTGTGGCAAAGTTACCATTTTCCTCTTGTTTGACACGCAGGTACTCAGGGTGGCATCAGACTGTATATGCAGGAATTGATAACCATTACGCAGAAGGCTCTGCAGTCCCAGTCCTGGAAGATGAAAGCCCAGGGAGCAGCTGCCATGGCATCAATTGCCAAACAGACGAGCTCCCTTGTACCCCCACATCTGGGAATAGTGCTCTCCGCGCTCCTGCAAGGTCTGCCCGGGAGAACCTGGACCGGGAAGGTAAAAAAGGAACTGACACCTCCTTGGGTCGCTGTGAGCACCAGCATATGCAGCCCTCCAGCCACGAAATGCAATGCTCCGTGCTGCAAAGCAGGACGTGTAGGAACTCTGGCTTAGGGAGTCTGCCTTTTGCCTTGTCCTGGTTTTGACCTGATTGAACAATCAGACTGACAGATGGCCCCTCCCTCCCCCCTCTAAGGGGAGGAGAGGAAGAGATAAAAGAGATTTATGAGTTTAGAAAAAAATAAACTACTTTAATGAAAATATTAATAAATAATGAAATAATAATAAGAAAAGGAAAAAAAAGTATACTGTATACACAAAGCTGTATCAAGCTCCCAGGATGACAATCACATCACCAGCAGGCACAGAGGAAAGTCCCAGGCTGGACTCAGTGATGGACAGGAGCTGGATTCCAGCTCTGGAGTCAGGAAAAGGGTAAAAAGGAGGACCCTGGGAACTACCGACCTGTCAGTCTCACCTCTGTGCCTGGGAAGATCATGGAACAAATCCTCCTAGATGCCATGCTTGGGCACATGAAGGACAGGGAGGTAATCCAGGACACCCAACATGGCTTTACTAGGGGCAGGTCCTGCCTGACTAACCTAGTGGCCTTCTATGATAAAGTGACTTGGTCAGTAGACAAGGGGCAACCTATGGATGTGATCTATCTGGATTTCTGTAAGGCCTTTGACACGGTCCCCCACAACATCCTGATTGCCAAACTGCAGGGGTACGGATTTGAAGGGTGCACTGTTCAGTGGATAAGGAACTGGCTAGATGGTCACATCCAGAGGGGGGTACTTAAGGGCTCAAAGTCCAGATGGAAACCAGTCACAAGTTGTGTTCCTTACGCGTC